CCGAGACCCATCTCCAAAAAGATATCAAAAAGTACTGTCCGGTGCAACCCTAATATGTTTTAACAGACTTTTAAATTAATTTCTTTGTTTCTCAAAACAGGTCATTATATGTATTTTTCAAATCATGGCTTCGACAATTGATATCAGCTTTTATCTTCATGATACTTTGGCCTCTAGTCCCAAGTCTTCTCTGTGATATATTCTTCTATAGTGCCTTGTACGTCAGTCCTGTTCAGGCTTTTTTTGCAGTGCTGAACAAATTTAGACAGCAAGATTAGAATCACTTGAAACTTCTCTGATTCAACGGACACAGTTAAGAAAATAATTAACCCTTTTTTTTTTTTCCTCTTTAGACTATTTTTTGATTTTACTTTTATTCCAAAGTTCTTTATTCAAAGAAAAAGTTATGGAAGTTATTTTAACATTTTATTTTTGAAAACATGTATGTATTGAAAAAAAAGGTTATGATGTATTTTTCTATATTTATATAATTCAACTACTGCTACCATTTATGCAAAATGTTTCAGTGATCTAGATTATCTTACTTACAATTCTCTATAATTAAATTATTTATATATTCCTTATTTATTATAAAGAATTTATTTATTTATTATGTGGGGCTACATAAATTTGAATTTAAATTTTAATTAAACTACTTTTAAACAATACAAAAAAGCTCAAAAAATATATTAGATATCTTTAAATTAACAACAAAAACAGCAATATTGTTTTCTTAAGCTTTAGATAATTGAAATAGTAATTTTTAAATATTCTTTTCTTTTTTACATATTTTTTTTTAATTCTAAAAAATAATATTTCTTTTTGAAGGAGCATAAATAAGTTGTAATATAAGATAAGAACTAAAGAAATAATGAAATTCAGTGAAAGGGACTTTACAAATATTTAATTAAAGCATTCTTATATGTGAAACATAAACATATTAGATTTTGAAACATCTGTGAATCTAATTAATTTTGTTTTGACAATATCTACATAAGTGTTTGTGCAATAGAATGTAGGTTATGTAAAGAACATACATACAACTTGTCATACAAAGTAAACCTATTCAGGTAATCACCAACGTTCTCTGTTGTAATTGGGAGACACTGATTTGCTTCTATGGATTTTCTGTCTTATTTTTTTTGTATTTCAATGTGACAAAGTTGTTTTGACTACATTCCATTAAGAACTAGAACTATTAAAAGGAAAGTAGCTTTCTTTTTTCCATCATCTTTGTTAGCTTTTTAACAAATTTTCTTTAGTAAGAATTGAAAATTTGTTAAATGGCATTGTTAACTCCTTCCCAATACATCTTGAAAAAAAAAAAACATAACATAAACAATAAGAAATTAAGATTTCAAATAATATTTTAAATTATTTGTTTAAAATTTCCCTGAACACTATTTTGTCCTCAGTTATGGACTATTTTTTTTCTACATAAGCAATTTTATTATTGCTCTTTTTGTCTGCTTTATATTTTCTGTTGGGAAATCTTGTTTTCATTTGACTAGACTACATTTTTATTAGGCTCTGTCTATAGTTTAACACCAAATTAAGTCTTTCTTTTGATAGATATTAATATAACTAATAGTAAGAAAGTTAATTTACATCCAGCTTTAGTTTATTGGAACTGATAGATCAATCTGTAATTGTTATACATAAAAAGACTGATCAGTAGCAAAGACTTGAAAAGAAAAATGAACTTAAAAAACTAACGATGCATAATAATAAGCTTTAGTTTATTGGAACTGATAGATCAATCTGTAATTGTTATACATAAAAAGACTGATCAGTAGCAAAGACTTGAAAAGAAAAATGAACTTAAAAAACTAACGATGCATAATAATAAGCTTTAGTTTATTGGAACTGATAGATCAATCTGTAATTGTTATACATAAAAAGACTTATCAGTAGCAAAGACTTTGAAAGAAAAATGAACTTACAAGACGAACGATGCATTTGCATTTCATCATCTTAATTGTCTATGATGTAGAAAAGCTCTAAATATATAAATGCATAGGTACATAAATTCATTTGATTCTATGACTGAACTAGATTTAGTTTATGCCTTCTTGTACATCTTTTCCTATTTGGTTTGAAGGATAATAACTTAATCAATATAATTTCCATCAGCCAAATAGAAAAATCCTCATATCATACTACTTCTACGAGGGGAAAACAATTGTTAATTTTGAATAATGTCAATCTGAAATTGTATGTAGGTTAAAAGATTTAGTATCAAGATATAATGAATAATACTTAGTGACGCCTAATGACTAAAAATCATCATCTTAACAACCCTTTATTACAAGTTTTATTGTATGTAGGTTAAAAAATTTAGTATCAAGATATAATGAATAATACTCAGTGTCCGCCTAATGACTAAAAATATTATTACAAGTTTTATTGTCCATTCATCTGATCAAATAATAAGCTTGAACTGAAAACACTAGTTCTAACTTTGTAATATTCATTAATATTAAAATTTTAACTTCTTGACCTTATAATACATTTTTTTTTCTTTTGGTTGTGGCAAAGTAAAAAAATTTTAAATAATGTTACATAAAATACAAAAGAAAGATCCTGAAAAAAAAAAAAAATTAAAGCTTAATGGTAGTAGGTAATAGTAACAAAATATAATAGCTTATTATTAAGTATATTTTTAAGAAGTTGTATTTTTTTCTTTTTTTTTTAATTATTTTGTTAGCCTTTTCAATTTTATTAAAAAACAAAACACCAACAGACAAATCTTTATTAGGCAGAAAATCTATTTATAGGAGTACAAACCTAACATATAATAAATAAGTTCATATTATGCCTTACTCCCATATTTGTTTTTTATCTTTGGTAGCAGTTCTTAGAAAGATAAATCTTTTGTGTTCATCACTTAGTGATTGTTTTTTTTTTTTTTTAAATTAAAGGATAATTAAAATAAAACTTTTTTTTTTTTTTCATGTTCTTGTTTTCCTCTTCTGCTCTACACATTTTAAACCGGTTCTCTCAGGATGGCTGTTAGCTACAGCAGTTCTGGAAGTTATCTGTGTTGTAAATCAGGGTCATAATTTGAGAGCTGCTGGCAGGAATGATGCCCAGTTATGTTAAGTCAAAGAAATGTGAGAAGGCAGTGTACTTGACTCACAATCTCTTCATTTTTATGTCATGCAGAACCAGATATACATTGCTATACTTTTCTCAACAACACTCTGTAGCATTGAACATGACATGATTCTTCTCTATTGGAACAGATAGTACTATACTGTATTTCAATCCATGACGTGATCTTTTGTGTTGGGGGAAAACATCAGTTGATCTGTTCCTTGTTAACATATCATCTTTAGTACATGAATATTGAACATGTTCTCATCACAAGGATGTTACATCTTACTTCTAATGTTACTTCTTACTTTGGAATGGGCTCAATATAAACTAGTATATATAATCTTTCTTGCTCTTTTTATCCTGTATTTCTTTTACCTGGGTTTCTGGGATATATAGATAACTGCCTGTTATGAGGCTCAATAAAGAGCTATTGTGTTTACTCTATTAATTCTTTTTTTCCCTTGAATAAGCATAAAGAAATAAAACTTGTGATACAAATATTTTTTGAAATACAAATATTTGATTTTTTGTTAAGACTTACTGCAGAAAAAGTGTGTTTTTTAAATATCTTATCATCTTCTTTCAGTGTTGTGTAAGCATTACAAACCTATATAAGTATGTGTGTAATTGTATTAAAGCTGCTGTGTGTCTGTATGTCACATTGACAAATGTTTTGTTAATTGTCTTATCTTTGTAATTAAATTTTTTTTTAATTTAAAAGTTAACACTGTAAAATAATATCCATAAATCATTTAGTTTTTTTTTTCATTCATACATTTTTGCCATATGCCAATGCCAAATAAAATGTGTGCTTTCAAAGATTTTAATATGTACAACACACAATTTGTTCATTCCAAAAATAAAAAAAAAAAACAAACAGAAAAAAGAATGATTAACTACCTACATGTTTCCACTAGCAAGTTTGTAGCTAGACCCACGGCTTCCTTGCGTGTGGAAGAATATTTCATTACATATTTAACTCATGCAATGCTGGTTTGTTTTTTTTTCATTCATAATTTCTTTGTTGAACTACTGTTATTTTTGTTCCTAAACTCTTAACCTCTCTACCATCCTTTTATAGTGCCACAATAATAAAAGTATCATAACAAAACACTTCTAAACACTATTTAGCTTTCAGTTCATGTTCACTAGTGCTTATGTTCTAAGAAGTGATGGTTCATGTATTGCTATGTTATCTCAGTGTGTGGGTCAAGCTAAGAAGTGATGGTTCACGTATTGCTGTGTTATCTCAGTGTGTTGTCAAGCTAAGAAGTGATGGTTCATGTATTGCTATGTTATCTCAGTGTGTGGGTCAAGCTAAGAAGTGATGGTTCACGTATTGCTGTGTTATCTCAGTGTGTTGTCAAGCTAAGAAGTGATGGCTCATGTATTGCTATGTTATCTCAGTGTGTGAGTCAAGATAAGAACTGATGGTTCATGTATTGCTATGTTATCTCAGTGTGTGAGTCAAGATAAGAACTGATGGTTCATGTATTGCTATGTTATCTCAGTGTGTGGGTCAAGCTAAGAAGTGATGGTTCATGTATTGTTGTGTTATCTCAGTGTGTGGGTCAAGATAAGAAGTGATTGTTCATGTATTGCTATGTCATCTCAGTGTGTGGGTCAAGCTAAGAAGTGATGGTTCATGTATTGTTGTGTTATCTCAGTGTGTGGGTCAAGGTAAGGAGTGATGGTTCATGTATTGTTGTGTTATCTCAGTGTGTGGGTCAAGATAAGAACTGATGGTTCATGTATTGCTATGTTATCTCAGTGTGTGGGTCAAGCTAAGAAGTGATGGTTCATGTATTGTTGTGTTATCTCAGTGTGTGGGTCAAGCTAAGAAGTGATTGTTCATGTATTGCTGTGTTATTACAGTTTGTGGGTCAAACTAAGAAGTGATGGTTCATGTATTGCTATGTCATCTCACACTGCATTCTTCTAGTCTTCCAGATCTCTTCCCATTCAATTTTTTTGTCAAAAAAAATATTTTTTTAAAATTTTGTAATATTAATTAATCATAGAGAGAATGGGGTGGGTAAACTTACGAGAGTCGTGTCAACATGCACTCATTTTTGGTTGACACTTGCCTCTTGGTTTATTTTATGAAATGTTTTTTTCCGCCTCAAACAGTTCCATAGATAAGCTGAAAGGGATGAGAGTTATTTGCAGTGTATGAAATAAAGGAGTCTTACAAACACTTGGTTTAGACTTTTGTTGTTGTTTTGGCACTTTTTGAATGAGTTGTCAAGAATTCTTGTATGCTGTTAAATTAGACCAAAACAAAAAAAAAGGAATGCCTGCATCCTGGTTATAACATGAAATCTATTTAATATTGCTACTTATTGCTAAAAAAAACTGTGTTTGTGTTACAATTAGTAGATACAATTAGACCAAGTGAAAATTTTGAATGTGGGGAGATATATCCATTCAAATGGAAATGGGTAGAGAATACGCCAAATACGATTTATACAATTATCTCCCTTTAACTTTTTTTTTCTAGAGCGACAACTGTTAAATGGTTGTAAAATGTTTTACATGTTTCGGAAGTTCCTTCAAAGTTGAAGATAATTTAGTTCCTAGACCAAACCTTCCGCAGGACGATGGGGGAGGGGGCGGCAGAGTATGAACTCGGGACCATCGAGACGACAGTTCAGCTCATATACCGTACGACCCAGCAGCCATCCGTTAGGCGGTATGAGAGAAAGTTTCAAACATGAGGCTGGCTAGCCACCTAAGAGAAAGAAAATTCAAACCTCTACTGCCTCTTTAGTCACACAAGAAGTTGTAAAGTTAAAAGATCGTCTCTCGAGACGTAAAATGCCACAGACTGCCTTGCGGCTATATGCCTACTCAAACTTGGGAAAAGCCAATGCTAAGGAAAAATCAAAAGCCGGCATCAGGGCCCACAGTGCTTCACCCTGGCTGATCCCAGTGAAAGCTGCATCGGATACCGTCTGGAACAGAGAGGAACTGATGTAAAGGGCGACAACAAAGTTAATACCCAAGCTTTCATTTCTATAAGGTGAACTATAGTTGTTCCACGACTGAAGAAGGCCAACAAGTCCAAATTTTCTCATCTGATACGCGTCCTTTGTTACGTCTCAAGACAGGGCCGGCCTTAGGCATAACCAAACTAGGCAGCAGCTTAGGGCATCCGATTGGTAGAAGCCTCGCACCATTTTTCTATAAAAGAATAAGCGACATTAGTGCCCAGTGTTATTGTTGGGGGACACTAGGTCTTGAATAAATTGCGTAATTTTATTTGTCCCCTGTTTCTTTTTTATTTTCTAATTTATTTGGGCCCACTAAATTCACTTCGCCTAGGGCATCTAATTATTTAAGGCCGGCCCTGCTCAAGAAAACATTAACAGGTACAGAAACACAATAGAGCCTTGATGAAATTTATAACAAATGAATATTCACGTGATTAACGCCATTACTAAAATCAATAAACTTAGAGACTCTTCAGGACAAAAGACTAAATAAGTAAAGTAGCAGTAATAGGCCTAGGCCTACATTTAATAAACTGAACCCTAACACAACCTAATATAATAGAAAGATAAAGGACAATTTCTCATTCAATTTGCAAGGACAAACTTGTACGGGTGCCCCTTTTTTTCCCTAGTGTTATTATAACGGAACGGGTTGACTGAATCGGCCAGGAAAACCAACGACTTGGCAGGGTTAAATTTTCTCATGAACACTAGATGAACAAGTGAATAGAGTGTAGGACATAAATATCTTCATTTTTTTTAAAAAGAGCCACATTAAAGCAGTAAGGTAGCCAAAATAATGTGTAGATGTCCAATCAATCGAAAGTTGAGGGGGAAAAATTAGATCATTGATTGGGCAGTTTTATAAGAAAATTGTTTACCCGTTTAAACAAGAAACGTAACTCTACCTTTGAGGATAGCACTAAATGGGCAACAGCTTTGGCTAGAAAAATGTCACTCACAATCTTGTGAAGTGTACACACGTGATTTTTTTTCTTTCAAGGTCATCCCCTTCCCTCTTTTTTTTTTATTCTCGTCCATCTTTCTATTTCATCCACGTGGAGCGACGTGAAAGCATCTTGCGATCAGCTCTTAAGTTAGTCATGTGTTCACAATTCAGAATACAGTAAGTGGTTAAGTACGTATACCCAAACGCGGTTGACACAAGGGAGGTAATTATGACTAAAAAAAAGTATATTTATGAAGGAATAAAACATTGCGATTATAATTGTATGCAAAAGTATTCTTTCGACAGTGACAAGCATTCAAAGTTAATGTAACATTAAATGTAAATAGCATTAATAAGTTAATATTTTTAAATGTCCTCTGAGTTAATCCACATTGATATCCCAGGCTAAAGATGGAACACCCTTCATTGCATCTAGAAAATGTAATCTATCATACTGATAGCTTGTGTTCGCTCATAACTTCAATAATTCAAAACTAGTGGCACGTGTGTGGTTAGGAATGGATCATTAATATAACCAACAAAACGGGCCTTGGGCTTTAAGTGTTTATATTTGTGCGTGGGTGATAGCAAAGTAATTGTTGCTTTTCTCCTAGTAAACTATGTATAATTATACAGCTTACAGCCCTATTTCAAAAGAGCACCAAAGCCCAACTTCCCAGATATGCGCATGCAATAAAGGGGCCACCACAACTGGAATTAGATTTTTAAGTCTCCATTATTATCATTTTTCTCCATTATTCCACCAAAAAGTAGTGTTATATTATCACAATACACTAACAATACTGATGTTTAAAAGTTACACTCCATTTTTATGAACGTGAAAACAAGGAGAGAACAGCCAGCAGAAACTAATACACAGTGAATACACACTACTGACACACTTCAGAGTAAACCGTGAACACGTGAACATACTAAACAATAGAACAAGGGAGACTACAAGAAAACAAACACACACACAACATACATAAACATAAATACACATATAAATGTAACAAGTAGATCACTTGACGGGCTCAGTGAGTGTCCATTTCTAACCCTTTGACCAACCGGAAGGATTTTAACCAGAGGCCAAGAGTGAAAGTTTTGCTCTTTACAGATCCCTCTGTCCAGAGTTTCCCCATCAAGTAGATGATTATTTAATCACCCATTTTCATGGGATACGATTCCTCGAGCCAACGATCTGTATATATAATTCCTTACGTCACCTAACCATGCGGGACACCACGCACGCTCGCCGACTCTCTAACCCTCGATGAAAAATTTCATGGGAAGATAATTCTTTTATTTCTGCAAGTAGGACTAGAGTTATCCCACGTTACTTTCGCGGCGACAGAGAGCGCGACTCAGAAAAAAAGAGGGGGGGGGGATAACAACTTATCTTCTCTGTACATATATATAATTATCTACGTCGCCCAATCATGCGGGACACCACGAACGCACGCCGACTCTCTAATCCTCCTCCCGCCCTCACCCGCGCCTTCCTTGCTCTTTAGGCATGCGCACACGGTCGTTTGCCCAAACTCACCCCATTTAGACAACTGTGTCTTTCAGGAAGTGTTCACCCGTCACTAAATAGTGGCGTATGCTACGCCGCGGGTCGGCTCGTATGGGTTAATTTCCTCCTTACCATTCTAAGGCTGGAGGTAGGGCCTACGAAGTGTTCCAGTGTGTTTCCATAATGTGCCGCCACTATTCGTGGTTGGACCATCACCACCCGTAAGGAACGGCGTGACGGATGGGACTGTAACGTGACAATGAGCTATTGAACTTAACTGGCCACAGGTTGCGACGTCAGTGCATGTTCAGGCATTCTATAGGCCCTAATTATTGGTCTTGGGTGTATAGATTGGACTGAAAGTCTATTTGCAAATGAACCTACACATATTGGACGATGTTTTGTCTCAAAATTTTTTTTTAGTTTTTTGTGTGTGTGTTTGTTTGTGGGATGTGTGTGTGGGGGGAGGTAAGTACTATCATATTGTTGAGCCCATGCCCACGGGAACTCTACTACGCCCATTGCTCCATTCAATGAGGAGCGATCACTGCATTGTTATTGCCATTCTCGTTCATGTTAATTCTGCTTTTCTTGAGGACGTTCTCGAGGGTATCTTTATAATCTTGTAAGGCCTATTCCATTGCACACCGAGCTTCCCTACTTAAGATATATATAATGCCTTAAAACGCTTAAACATATAACACCAACGGTTGGTCCTAATAATTCTGAAGCTTGGCTAAGTATTTATATATCACAGCATCAGTCCCCATTTTCATAAAAGTAAACAGTGCCATGAGAGATAAATTTAACCCTAGATGTATGGGCGTAGCCAGTGGGGGGGGGGGTTCCTTGGGGTTCAACCCCCCACCCCCCGAAATGAAATTGAAGGTAAAAAATACCTCTTTAATATTAAAAACAAAGCAAATTATACACTCAACATGTTATGAGTATATTCAAAGGTGTTTTGAGTTTAAATTCCCCTCCAGTGGAGTTAAAGTGGAGTGAAGACAAAAATTAATCTTCAATATAAAAAAAAAGAAAATACACACTCAGAAATCTATGAGCGTTGCCAAAAGGAGTTTTGAGTTTAAACCCCCCTTCAGAGTGGTTTGATGCTAAAAAAAAATAACTCTTCAATATAAAAAAAAAAGCAAATTACACACTAAAATTATTTGAGCGTAGCCAAGACAATTGGGGGTTTTGAGTTTAAACCTCTCTCCTACAGATGGCTTTTTAAAAAGTTTAACCCCCCCCCCCCCACACACAGAGCATTTTGAGGTGGAAAACTTATATCCTCAATATTATTCTAAAGCAAACTACAGTTACTAAATTCTATGACCTTATCTAAATGGGGTTTTGAATTAAAAAAAACAACAACATAACTCCTGAGATTTTTTAGTTTAAAATACCCAACAGATGATTTTGACGATAAAACTTCCCTTTCGATATAAAATATAAAGCAAACTATAATCACTTAATTCCAAGAGCGTATTCAAGAGAGATTACATATTTCTTCCAGTGGCGGGGCTCAATTAATAAAGTGCAGTGAATAGTCTTTTGCCGAAATTGAAAAACACTAAATGTGGCTCAACAAAGATGGCTAAGACAGATTTTAGGAGTCAGTTATAGAGATCGGGTCTAAATCAAGGAAATCCTATGCCGAACAGGGAGTCGACCCGTTAGTAAGATTGTGACAGAGCGTCGCATGAGGTTTGCGGGACATGTTCTCCGACAAAATGAAT